ATAAACAGAAATCAGATTACATTAAATAGTGCGTTTCTAAGCTGAGTACAAGATAAATTGGCTAAAAGGCTGAATAGGGATATAAAGAACTTAGTTATGGATTCACAGTCTTGTGAATGAGTCTATAACTGGTAGCACTGGGTGAGCCCATTTCCTGTGCCCTCCAGCCTAAGGCCTCACAAGCACCTCAGCACCTGGATGCTCCTAGGACCCTTCTGTTACCAGCCCCATGTGCTGGCAATAACTGAGGCAATAGTGAGACTGACCCAAATAAAGGAGTCAGAACCATAACATGACACATAATTCAGTCTCTTCCAGGCCTCAGCAACAATCATTTTGTATGCATAACTTCTCCTAAGAGATTTTATTTCCCAAGTAATCACCTACTATAGCAGTTCTCTAAGATCCCTGGGAAGGCCAAGGCTACTTCAGATAGTCCATTAGATCAATCTATTTCCATAATCACACCAAGATGCCATTTATCTTTTTCACTGTATTGACACCTGCACTGATGATGTCAAAGCAATGGTGACAAAAACTGCTGACAGCCTAGCACAATTCAAGGCAGTAGCACCAAATTACATTAATATTTATTATATTTGTTACTGCCATGCATTTCACAGTACTCAAAAAAAAAAAAAAAATCCCTGCCAGTTTGAGTGTCCTCAATGAAGCTGTGATAACTACTCATTTTATTAGATCTCAACCCTGAAGTATACATGTTTTTAATATTCTGTGTTATGAAATGGGAAACACGCATAAAGCACATACATCTATTGCATATGAAAGTATAATACTTGTCTCAAGGAAAAGCACTTGTGCAGTTGTTTGTGTTACAAGCTAAACTAGCTGTTTTTGTCAAAGAATATCACTTTTAATTGAAAGAATAGCCACGAGACAAACTATAATTATTCATACTTGGGTATTTGGCAGGCATTTATTGATTGAATAAATGTACTATATTCAGTATATCAACAAATGCTTTTGGTTGAAAGAACAGAAATGACTTTAGCAATAAGAAAATTACATCTCGTAACTAGAAGTCAAGAGACAAAAGAGCTCAACAATGTCACAAGATCCAGATGCTTTCCACCCCTCTGCTCTGACACCTCAGTGTTAGCTTTCCTCTTGTTGCAGGTAGCAAGATGGAAGCCGCCTGTCCAAGGCATCATGTTTAAGCAGGACAATGTCCTGAGCAAAAGAGATTATTTTCCCCTCCTGTGGCTTTCTCTTAGAGAAGAGGAAACGTTTTCTAGATTGCCACTGCAGACTCACATTTCACTGGCCTGAATTTTGTCACATGTCTATCCCTAAACCAATCCCTGGCTAGGGGAATGGAATATGGCCCTTTGAACTAATCAGGCCCAATATAGGGTCTACAGGTGGGGTCAAGTTTCCCTGAGGCAAAGGCCTGGTGAGTGAAGGGCTGATCACCCTTCTAAACAAAATTAGGGCTTTGTTAACTAGGAAGGAAAAAGGGAGACTAGAAGAAACCTGTAGGCAATCACATAGGGACCACACCATTCAGTAAATGAAGGTCTAGAACAATGGTTACCAAATGCGGGTCAGCAGCCAGGCTACAAAGGAATCACCTGGGAGCTTGTTAAAAATATAGCTCAAACTGTAATGTGCATATGAATTGCCTAGGGATCTTGTTAAAATACATATTCTGCATTTGCAACAAGTTCCCAGATAACACAGTCACTGCTGACTTATGGACCACACTTTGAGTAGGAATGATACAGACCTTCCACTTTAAATTACTGACTTGGAATCTCCTGAATGATCCTAGTTTAAGAACTGGGTTCAATGTGGTAAACATCAACAATGTACAAGATTGGCATTCATTCATTCAGTCAGTCAATAAGTATTCATAGAAATCAGGCCCTGTGCTTACTGGTGAAACTACAAAGGGTCCACATGCTATTGGGGAGGAATGGGCTGACCTATATACACATATCTTTAAAGTGAGAAGGGCTCCAGTAGAGATATGCACAAAGTGTTCTGCCATCTGATTAAGGAACAAGGAGTGACTTAGTAGTGAAGGTGGGCTTGACAGGAAATGTTTCACAGAAAAGGAGAGACATTAGAGCTGACTTTCCTTAGGTGCCCAGAGACAGACAATGTGTGTGCAAGAAAGCCTGGAAATATAAATGAGCCAAGTACATTCAGGGAACAGTGAGAATGTCTCTGTGGCTTATGTACAGGCTGAGATGGGGTGGGAGAAGAAAAAATTAGGCTGAGGCTAGATTATGAGAGGCCTTGAATGCTGTATTAAATCACTCTATAGTAGCTGTTCTCAACCTTGACTGCACTTGAGGAGCTTTTAAAAATCCTGATGTTGGCCAGGCACTGTGGCTTATGCCTGTAATCCCAGCACTGTGAGAGGCTGAGATGGGTGGATGGCTTGAGCTCAGGAGTTCAAGACCAGCCTGGGCAACATGGTGAAATCTCATCTCTACAAAAAATAGAAAAATTAGCCTGGTGTGGTGGCACGTTCTTGTAATCCTAGCTACTTAGGGGGCTGAGGCAGGAGGATCACTTGAACCTGGGAGGTTGAGCTGCAGTGAGCCAAGGTTGCACACTGCACTCTAGCCTGAGTAACAAAGTGAGGCTGTCTCAAAAAAAAAAAAAAAAAAAAAAAAATCCTGATGCCCAGGCCGCACCCTAGAGCAATTAAATTCTACTTTCTTTAGGGGAACAGGAAGAAGTAATGCAGGCATCAGTATCTTTTAGAGGAGGTGATGCAGTGGGCTGCCAAAGCTGAGAACCACAGCTTTACAACAGCTAGTGCCTGCCCAACCTGTTTGCATAGAGCACGTTCTTCAATAAGGATAGAGCCCCTCCTTCCTAAATGTACTTTTCATTTCCATTTGATATTCAAAATCAGAATTATTAAAAAGCGTTTTGGCTCCAGAGGCCATGTGATGGGCACTGAAATGGAACTCCCCTGCACAAGGGCCTGTGGGATGCAGGCAAATGAAGCCTGCCCTTTGTTCCCCTGCCTGCATTGGTGAAAGCTGATCCCTGTGAGCCTCTGTCACTGGGCAGAGGGCACGTTTTTCTCTCACTAGCCTAGACCACAGGGATCTTTGACTAGAAATATCTGCAAAGTGTTTGCTGAATGAGAAACATTTCATCACCCCACCCTGTTTTCCTAACTGAATGCCTATTCAATAATTTGGGTATATTTTTATTTGATAAGATGAAAAGTTGAACTCTCCATATTATGAAGGCTGACAGAATATTCTTTTTGTAGATGCTTCACAATATGAATTTGAAATGCTAGCTCTTGGTTTTGATCTCTGTACTCAGGTGCTGAAATGTTATAGTTAAGAAAAGTTGGCCGGGCGCGGTGGCTCAAGCCTGTAATCCCAGCACTTTGGGAGGCCGAGGCGGGTGGATCACGAGGTCAAGAGATCGAGACCATCCTGGTCAACATGGTGAAACCCCGTCTCTACTAAAAATACAAAAAATTAGCTGGGCGTGGTGGCGTGTGCCTATAATCCCAGCTACTCAGGAGGCTGAGGCAGGAGAATTGCCTGAACCCAGGAGGCGGAGGTTGCGGTGAGCCGAGATCGTGCCATTGCACTCCAGCCTGGGTAACAAGAGCGAAACTCCGTCTCAAAAAAAAAAAAAAAAAAAAAAAAAGAAAAGTTGTCCCTTCTCTCATTTATTACCATTAAGTTTCCTGAAATAATCTTTAAACTGTCCAATTGTCCCTTCTCTCATTTATTACCATTAAGTTTCCTGAAATAATCTTTAAACTGTCCAAACATTGCCATAAAATGTTCATCACTTTTGTCTCCTCAAGTTGCTGAATTTCTGGGTTGTTTTGAATTTTTAAAATATATTTTAAACACTTAAATATATAAAACAAACATAACTAAAAAAAAAAAAACACTCCAAACTTATTTACCATCTAACTCAGGCCCCCAGTTTTCAGTCAAATTATTCCACCCCCTTTAGTAGAATGGCACATGCTCTTCTGCTGTGGGACAATGGAGAAAGGAGGATGACCTGTGCAACTGCCACAGTCCCCCAGCTTCCTGGGAATGCTCGCCTGACTCTGGGCAGACATTGATGTGGCCCTAAGGAGTATTTTGACTGTGTTGTTTTACAGCTCTATCCAACACACAAGTAGGGAAGTGCGGCTTTGTTTTCAGAATTAAACTATCTCCCAGGAAGCTTTCTTCGGTCCCCTTTGCTTTTCCCTGGAAAGGCCCCAGATAAGAGGCAGGCTGTTGTTTCTCCACAGCAGTTCACAGGTTTACTTTTCAAATAATGTACCCAATCTCTTCCCTCCATGATAACCCAGGATTTTCCCTACAATCAAATGATGTGACCTGAAAACAAACACTTAACTGGAGTTCTGACTCAAAGAACTAGATTCTACGGGTATTACAGGCTTTTGTTCTGGCTGTACAGATGTGACTAGGAATCCATGCCATAGCTCATGCAGCTTCGGAAATGACCTCCATGTGCAGAGGCGTGCCAGTGTGTGGGTGGCCCAGGACGAGGCCTGCCCCTCCTGGGCAAGCCTCAGCTGGGTTTGAGTCTCAGAGCAGGAGGCCTGTGACTCACATCTGTCCACTTATAATGTGATCACCCCCACCACCAAGTTTGCATTCACAGAGCCCCAGATGGACTGTCCCCAGCATCCTCACTTGTGTGGTGGACACTCATTCCTGTGGCCACTTTAACAGAACTTGGCTCACCCAATTCCTTGCTTGGATACAAACAAGCTGGCCTCTGACAGGAGGGGAGTGGAGATTCCCTCAGCATCTTCTCGGGGACATTACCTCCCTCTTTGTGGATGGCTGATTGCTTTAGAAATACCAGGAATCATTATTTTACCTTACAGGGCTAGTGCGTGCTATGATTAATTTAGCTAAGGCTCTTAGAAAACAGTAAATGCTGAGCAGCAACCCTGTTAGTTCCCCTTTTAAAAAGCACTTTAACAACCCCGGGCAGCTAGTTTGATGAGAAGAGCTACTTACCGTAACTCTCATGAGCATTCCTCTTTTAAACTGATTCTCAAAGGCTTTTCAGTCCCTCTGATAAAAATGCACTCCTTCCAAATGAATCTGAAAATTAAGCAAGAACACAAATTTTATCTTTAAAAAAAATCAATCCTAATTTCTAATGAAGGAAAAAGAAATAATTTCATGCTAATTAGGAGGGAGACACATAGCCTGCATTTTGGAGATAAATAGGACAAGGGTTTGAGTTTAAAGTTTAACTGGAAAATGTCTGCCTCAAAGGAAAATTCAATTTGAAGAACTTGCTCACAGCCTAGGGATCCCACTCAAACCATTCTTACCATTTCCCCTTCTCTTTCCTTCCCCTCCCACACCTTCTTTCACTGCCGAACCCCACAGGAAACGGGAGTGAGTCTCTACATGGCGCATTAGTACATCTTGGGCGGTGCCTAAAAGCAGGGATTACAAATGCAGGAGACGGTTTGGCAGCGGATGTGCCTCAACCCAGCTCTACAGATTCCACATTCTTCCCCTGGAGGGGAGCAGTCGCTGCGGTTGCCTGAAAGCCCATACTGCCAGCAGCCAGGGGTTCAGCAAATGCCTGGGGAGCTGAAGGGTTTTCTGGAAACCTGTCCAATCTCTGCCTCTTTCTCTGGGGATGCACAAGGATGTGCCAAATGCATCCCGTTTGATAGTTTTAAAATTGCCCCTTACATGTGTTTTTAATTTTTATGTAATAAAGGAATGACTGCTTGATAATTAAAGAGCAGCTGGTGATTAAAATCAGTTTCATTGATGACTAACAAACACAAATAAAACCTGATATAAATCTTTATGAGATCTGTGAGGCCCACAGCAGTGACAATTCCTCTTCTCCTAATCATGTTTTCTCTGAAGCAGCATGTCTCTCCACTTCCCCTAGCTTTGTTTTGGCCTAGTAATTCTCTCTGGCTTAAACAATTGCTTATCCTTTAACCTCCTGTTTTTGATAACCAACTAGTGTTTATTTTAAATGTAGTTACTGGCCAATTAAATAGAAATTAGCTACATTTAGAGACCGAGTTCCTGATTACTGCTTCTTCCTTTAGCATCTATTCATTCTTCTTTAGGCTATCTTGAAAGCAGAAATCCCAACGCACAGATCACTTTGCTAGGGCACCTTAGAGTAGTTACCTGTCAAATCCAGAGTTAAAGAAAGTGAGAGATGGGACGCTCTCTTCACTCATCAGGACCTGGAGCAAGCTGGGCTGTTACTGAAGACGTTTCCTGTTGTAATTCAGTTAACCCTTTTTTTTTTTGAGACAGGGTCTTGCTCTGTCAACCAGGCTGGAGTGCCGTGGTGTGACCTTGGCTGACTGCAACCTCTGCCTACCGGATTCAAGCCATTCGCCCACCTCAGCCTCCCAAGTAGCTGGGAATACAGGCACCTGCCACAACGCTAGGCTTATTTTTGTATTTTTAGTAGATCCAGAGTTTCACCATGTTGGCCAGGCTTGTCTCGAACTTCTGACCTCAAGTGATCCATCCCCCTCAGCATCCCAAAGTGCTGGGATTACAGGAGTTAGCCACCGTGCCTGGCCAACCCATTTTTGTTTCAAGACAGACTCTCCTACCAGTAGATCAGGCAAATTTCACAGAAGGAAAAAGGAGGGAGAGAAGCCTTTGTTTCTTTAGGGCAGCTAAAATCCATCTTCCTTTTTACCCAAAAACTGACACAACTGCTTGTTTGGGTGAAGGAGAAGGCTCCCTTTCTGGGTTGGGTAGAGCACATACGCTATAGCAGTCAACATTAGGGAACAGCCAACCTGTAGGCTTCCTATTTTTAAATCAAAGCCATTGTGCTAATCACCCAGATAATCTGATATGGGTATCATTTATTCTAAGATGAGAACAAGAAACACATCTATGATAGAATTCATTAGTGCAATCCTTTTTCAGTCCCAACATGTGCTTCTGCAGATTGCATAATGTCTACATAAATTCTATAGGTTGTATTTCAATTTGTATTGCTTCCTCATGAGGAAATGTCGTCTCCTCTTGCTATGGTTTGAATGTTTGACCCCTCCAAACCTCATGTTGAAATTTGAGCCTCAGCATTGGAAGTGATGCCTGGTGGGAGCTGTTTGGGTCATGGGGGCGGGTCCCTCATGAATGGCTTGGTGCCATCCTCGTGATAAGTGAATTCTCACTTTATTAGTTCTCACAAGAGCTGGTTGTTCAGAAAAGCCTATCCTCTTACTCCCCTCTCTCTTGCTGGCTCTCTTGCCATGTGATCTCTGCACACACCAGTTCCCCTTTGCCTTCCACTATGAGTCCTCAACCTGAAGTCCTCAACAGAAGCAGATACTGGCACCATGATTCTTGTACAGCCTGCAGAACCATGGGCCAAATAAACATTTTTTTTTAAATAAATTACCCAACCTCAGGTATTTCTTTATAGCAACACAGACTATGATGCCTACAGAGGTCAGTTAACTTTGTTTATAAGAGGTCAGTTAACTTTGTTTATAATAGCAAAAAGTGGAAAATTGCCTAAAGTACAATGAATGATTGGGATTGGATAAATAAAGTAAATTAGACATTCATTTAATGAAATACAGTTCAGCCATTAAAAATGAAAAGGACTTCCACTGTACAGTGATAGAAGAGACATCATTCTTACACTTACAATGAAAGTAACTGGGTTAACTTCAAATTCAGAAATTATTTTGGAATTTATCAGAGAGCTGAAGTGTCAGAACAAACAACAGGCTCAAAATCTGAAGGCGCTAGGGTCAGCCTAAAGCCTGAGGACACAGAATACACCTGGTATTGAAGCATCTTAAAGGTTTTGTCCACAATTTCCAGCCTGGAGACTGGGACCATGGGGGGTTGCCTGGCGAGGTTTCACTGGGGCAGATCTACTGCTGTTTTCCAAAGTTACTTAGGGGAGCTGAAGGGTTTTCTGGAACCCCTTAGTTAGCTGGCCCTTACTTAGGTCAGCTTATTTCTTCCTTATCCCTTTCAGGGAAGTTATGATTAATTTGTAACATAGGAAAATGCATTTATCACAATTTGCATTCCATCTTTTCTCCCACATCCTGGTTGAGGTGTTTTTGTTATTTTAATTTTACTTTAAGTTCTGGGATACATGTGCAGAACATGCAGGTGTGTTACATAGGTATACATGTGCTATGGTGGTTTGCTGCACCTATCAACCTGTTGTCTAGGTTTTAAGCCCCACATGCATTAGGTATTTGTCCTAATGCTCTCCCTTCCCTTGCCCTGACCCCCTGACAGGTCCCAGTGTGTGTTGTTCCCCTCCCTGTGTCCACATGTTCTCATTGTTCAACTCCCACTTATGAGTGAGAACATGCAGTGTTTGGTTTTCTGTTCCTTTGTTAGTCTGCTGAGAATGATGTCTTCCAGCTTCATCCATGTCCCTGCAAAGGGCATGATCTCATTTTTTATGGTTGCATAGTATTCCATGGTGTATATATGCCACATTTTCTTTATCCCAGTTGAGTTTTTTAAAATTTACATGTAATAAAATTCACTTCTTGTGGTACAGTTCTATCAGTGTTGGCAAATGCACAGAATTGTATTATGGATCACTATAATTCTATACATAATAATTCCATGACTGCAAAGTTTCCTTATGCTCTTCCTTTATAGACAACACACCTCTCAACTCCTGATCTACTAACTACTCATCGATTTTCCTCCCTATAGTTTTGCTTTTTCCAGAGTGCTATATGAATAGAATCAAACAATTCTCAGTCCAGCCTGTCAAAATGCAGGTAAGATTTATCTATGTTGTTTTGTGAATCAACAGTTCATTCAGGTGTATTGCTGGTGGCATTCTATTACACGTATGTACCATATTTTGTGGTACATCTAGGTTGTTTCTAATTTTTAAATCGGCTACAAACATTTACCTATAGGTTTTTGTATTGTAGGAGACCAGAATATGCCACCTTGAAATATGCCTTTTTGGCATATGGATTGTTTTGTGCTAATCATTTTGAGAAACTGTAGACACAGAAGATCTGAAAACAGAGTACAAATTATAAACGAAATTTATGTCTATAAAGGAAATCTCCATTTGTGATTCCCCATGTACTACGAAGAGAAGGATGACATTACATTAGTAGAGACTCTTAACAATGGAGAAGGCACCGGGCTTAAATCTGTGTAAGAAACCTTACCCTTGTTATCCTGCTTTCCTGGGCATCTCCTTAAGATTGTCCTTCCTCACATCCTTCCCTCTTTGTTTTGTTTCAGTAGACAATTGTACTTAAGCCTGAATTCAAAGCCATACCTTTGTGATTTACTTACTCCTCTGGGTATCTCCCATATATACATAAGTTATATATGTTGTTAAATTTGTTTGTTTTCCACTTGTTAATCTACCTTTTGTTACAGGAGTTTGTTCCAGCTAAAAACTTGAAGAGTAGGGAGAAAATTATTTTTTCCTCTCCTATAGTTTGAACATCTCTTATTTTGTTTTGGATACATAGCTAGGCATGAGATTGCTGGGTTTTATGGTAGGTATATGTTTAACTTTGTAAGAAACTGCCAAACTGTTTCCCAACGTGTATGTACCATTGCGCATCCCTACCGGCAATATATATGAATTCCAATCCTCAACATTCTCACCAGCACTTCATATTGCCAGGTTTTAAAATTATAGCTATTCAAATAGGCATGATGTGGGTTTTTGGTGTGGTTTTAATTTGCATTTCCCTAATGATTACTAATGAACATTTTTTATTATGTTTATTTTACATCTAAATATGTTCTTTGGTAAAAACTCTTGTTTCAATTTTTTGTTCTTAAAAATTGGGTTTTTGTTTTCTGGTTGTTGAGTTTATGAGTTCTTTATATATTTCGGATATAAGTCCTTTGACAGATGTGATTTTAAAATATTTTCTCCTAGTTTGCGGCTTGTCTTTTTAATTCTCTTAATCAAAGAGCCAAAGTTTTGCAAAACAAAAGTATTTTTAAATTTTAATATAGTTTATCAATTTTTCTTTCATAAATCATGCTTTTGGTGTCATATCTAAAAACTGTTTTCCTAACTCAGGATTTCTCAACAGGTGCACAATTGACATTTTGGACCAGAT